AAAAAGAGGTGAAGGTCAATTTTAACCCTGGCTCATCAGACCAGGAGAGAGACACAGTGGAAATAACATAAGAAAAGTAGGCTAGGCGCGGTGGCTCACGCCTGTAATCCCAGCACTTTGGGAGGCCAAGGTGGGCGGATCATGAGGTCAGGAGATCGAGACCATCCTGGCTAACACGGTGAAACCCTGACTCTACTAAACATACAAAAAATTAGCTGGGCGTGGTGGCGGGCACCTGTAGTCCCAGCTACTCGGGAGGCTGAGACAGGAGAATGACCCGGGAGGCGGAGCTTGCAGTGAGAGAGATCGCACCACTGCTCTCCAGCCTGGGCAACAGAGCGAGACTCCGTCTTAAAAAAAAAAAAAAAAAAAAAAAGAAAAGTAGGAACTAGGACTGTATGAAAATGAAAGGAATGAAAAAAATTGTGAAAATAGGGGAGCAAAAAGAAAAAGGCTAGGAAGAACTAGGGGTTAGGGTAAAAAAAAAATAATAATAGAAGAAGAATTAGATGATAGGAGGCTCCTCCCACAGTGGTACCTAACTCTGGAAGAATGAAGAGACTCTGTACTGTGAGTTGATACAAGGAAATGAATTCCTTGCAGGGCATGGGCATGTCTAACCTAGTCTTGCCCTGCCAGTCTAAATGTGTGTCTGCCTGGCATGTTCACATAATAGAGAATCTTCTGAGATCCTTAACTTGCCTGCCCCAGTTCATTCCTCCTACTTTGAGAAGGAATGACACTATCAGAAGAAACAGAGAAACAGTTCTAGAGATCACAGAGAATGTTCAAGGTGTCAGGAAACAGCAGTATCTCTTTGTCCAGTTTATCACCAGGGCTTTAGAAGGTTTTGGAGGCTTTGGGAGTGAAGAGTTAAGAGATGGAGTAAAAAAGAATGAGATTTTCGTTTCTGGATTTTAGCTTAAGATACCAGAATGATAGGCACCTGGGTAGGAGTACAAAACTGTCATAAGGAAACAAGCCAAATTCACAGTAATTTTCAGCAGAAAGTATTTGAGAAAGGTGTCAGAAATAATAATTACAGCCTCAGATATGCACACAGAGGTCATAAGTTAAATAGGAGATTTTAATCTGAAAAGGTAAATACAACCTTTTGGGTGCCTTTAGGATTAGCAAAGAATGGAGTCATAAGAATATAACCACTACTGGGAATTCCCTTGTATAAAAGAAGCCAAGAGCTGGAGGCCAGGGTTAAAAAAGAATACAATGTAGTTGAAAAAGATTGTTAAGGCCGGGTGGGGTGGCTCACGCCAGTAATCCCAGCACTTTGGGAGGCCGAAGTGGGCGAATCACGATGTCAGGAGATTGAGATCATCCTGGCCAACATGGTGAAACCCCATCTCTACTAAAAATACAAAAATTAGTTGGGCATGGTGGCACATGACTGTAATCCCAACTACTCGGAGGCTGAGACAGGAGAATTGCTTGAACCAGGTGTCCGAGGTCGCAGTGAGCCAAGATCAAGATCGCACCACTGCACTGTAGCCTGGTGACAGAGCGAGACTCCATCTCAAAAAAAAAGAAAAAGAAAAAGATTGTTGAAAATCCGTGAACCTTTGGTACCAACATAAAAGTAGAGACAACTGTGTAGCACAATTTATATTATAGGCCACCTGGCCAAATGTTGGAATCGATAACATGGTGATGTGTACAATGGCAAAATACAAGATCAGGTTGTGGGTGGGAGGGCTTCAATTAACTAGACATCTGCTGAAAGCTGCATTCTCTAAAAGTTGAGTGGAAAATTGCTGACAATATAAACTTTCATATGGTAAATAAAGCAGTAAGGGGAAATGCAATCTCAAACCGAATTCTGACAAGAGTGCTTAGCAACTGAAATACCAGGACCCTAAGGAGAAAAATCACTGTACCATCTTTTAGTTCAAATTCACTGAGAAAGAAATGATGAGAAGAACAAAGTTTGTATCTTAAACTTTAAAATAGTAGTACTCTAAAAATCCAGAAAAATGAAATATATGGCTGTAATGGGTTGAAATGTGTCCCCCTCCCAAAATTTATATTAAGTCCTAACCCCCAGTGCCTCAGAATATATATAATTAGTTAAGATGAGGTCATAGTGGAGTAGAATGGGCCCCTAATTCAATATGACTGGTGTACTTCTAAAAGGAGAAATTTGGAGCTAGACACAGAGGGCGAATGCCATGTGAAGAGGAGGGCAGAGATTTAGGTAATGCTTCCAGAAGCCAAGCAATGCCAAAGATGGCCAGCAAACCTCCAGAAGCTAGGAGAAAGGCATGGAACAGATTCCTCCTCACAGCCCTCAGAAGGAACCAACCCCCCTGACACCCTGATCTTGGACTTCCAGCTTCCAGAACTGTGAGACAATAGTTGTTTAAGCCACCCAATTTGTAGCACTTTGTTATGGCAGCCCTAGGAAACTAATACAACGACTTCAAGGCCTGACACAGTAATTGGAAAGATGACTCAAGAAGGTTGAAAGCTCTTAGGAAATCTTGCAATTACAGAAAGTTCTGACGAGGCAGGAAAAGAAAGTATCCAAAAAACCAGTATGACCACTAGGAGATGTGTACGGTTTTCAAAAGGGAAAAAAGTGAATTTTGTAAAGTAGAATCTTTATGTTGATTCTGAACCAAATTCTAGGAATGGATTATCAATGGACTATTTATAATTACTTTTAAAAAAAAAAGCACTGATTCCTATAATAAGTCACAGCAAAGTAACTATAAAACCCTTGGTGATGCAGTTAATTATTTGAAAGATTGGCAAATAGTGGATTAAAATGACTGACAGAGATTTAGAAATATGGGCCTGGTGAGTTTTAGTGGGAAGACTCATAACCAGTATAGATGAACAGATTGATCTTTTTCTTCAGAGAGGTTTATGTTATTTTGCTGTAGGTCTCTGTCTTTAGCTCTGGCTTGTTCAACACTTTTTTAAACAAAGAATCACATGAGAACAATCATCAAATGTATGGATGACAAAAGGCTTGCAAAACAGCAAATGCACTGCTAGACAGAATCAGGGTCCAAAGGTCTAAAATACCAGTCCACATCCCAAAACATGAAATTTCCTAGTTATAACACTGCTAGTGGGTCCAAAAAGCAACCATCAAGGCCAGTATGTTTTTAAGAACAATAGCACATATGAAGCAGACAGGGACTTCAAATGATATTAATCTCCACATGGGTTAACCTAGTGATGGAGCCGAATGCAGTTTTAGGGTGTGAGAACACCTAGAGTGCTGGGTTCAACTCTGTGGAGTGTTCACAGTGATAAGGATGGTGAGCGGACTACAACCATTTGAACTGGGGATATTAAGAGTTAACTAAAGGCAGGAAAAGAAAGTATCCAAAGGGCCAATATTGGGGATGTGTATGGTTTTCAAAAGGGAAAAAAGTGAATTTTTTAAAGAGTGAATTTTGTAGAAAGCAAGCCTGACAAGAGTTTTTCCTGAAGGGTTTTAGGTGTGGGAGATTACACTTACTTTCTAACCTCAGAGGATAGAGCTAGGGCCAATAAGTCAAAGTGGTGGTCAGTATGAGAAAGCAACATATAGAGTTGCTCCCAAATGTAAGGGATTATTTTGGGGGAAGAAATGAGTTTCCCATTACTGATGATGTTCAAGCAGAAACAAGATTACTTGCTTAGTGTGTACATATGTGTGTGTGTAATTTTTTTGAGATGGAATTTTGCTCTTGTTGCCCAGGCTGGAGTGATCTCGGCTCTTGTTTTGCTCTTGCTGCCCAGCAATGTTGCAATCTCAGCTCACTGCAACCTCTGCCTCCCGGGTTCAAGTGATTCTCCTGCCTCAGCCTCCTCAGTAGCTGGGACTGCACTGCAGGCATGCACCACCACGCCTGGCTAATTTTAGTATTTTTAGTAGAGACAGGGTTTCACCATGTTGGCCAAGCTGGTCTGGAATTCCTGACCTCAGGTGATCTGCTTGCCTCAGCCTCCCAAAGTGCTGAGATTATAGGTGTGAGCCACCGTGCCCGGCCTACTTAGTATCTTTTTAAGGCTATTCATCATTATATGGGGATGAGAGGAAAAGTCTAAGATTCTGTGACTCTATTGTGAGACAGTGGGACTTCACAGTTGAGATATCTGGGGCCAGGTGCTTTTCCATGCCTGTAATCCCAGCACTTTGGGAAGCCCAGGTGGGAGGACTGCTTCAGGCCAGGAGTTCAAGGCTAGCCTGGGCAACATAGTAAGACTCTGTCCCAAAAAATATTTTAAAAATTGAGCTGGGAGTGGTGGCACACACCTGTAGTCTTAGCTCCTTGGGAGCTTGAGGCAGGAGGATTGCTCAAGCCCAGGAGTTGGAGGCTGCAGTTAGTTAGCTATGATAGTTCCACTGCACTCCAGCCTGGGCAACAAAGTGAGACCCTGTCTTAAAAAAAAAAAAAAAAAAAAAAAAAAAAAATTCTGGTCTGGAATTTCCTCTGCAGAGTGAAAGAATCTCACATAAACTTCCAGAGAACAAAGTGGATGACCTTATGGAGCTTAAAAGAACGAATACTTAGCCTTTCTCTATTTCCTCATGCCAGCAGCTACCTGGATATCACGATGTCTTATTCTCCAAAGCAGTATTTCAGAGGACAAGAGCAAAAATAACAGAACTTGGAGTTCCTTGGATCTGGAATCACTTCTCCTTAACTATCTATACTTCTGTGATTGATTGGTCTTTCTGCCCTGCAAATCTGGAGTATCATGGAGTACTCCCAGGGCTGACTCGTCATTCAGACATGCTCCCCTTACCTCCTAATGCTCCCAAACTTATCAATATATATGACATCAGCAATTATTATACTTCTTGTCCCACGAGGCTAAGTTCATCTGTCATCATGCTAGTAATAAATTTGACCATTCATTCAGAAGAGGGTAATTAAGAACAATTTGAACCATAATTAGTTGATTGAAAATATCAACTATCTAGAAAAATGCTTTCTGCTTTTAAGCTTGCATCAGTGCTCAGTTATAAAATCAATCTTACTAACCTCCTCGAGCAAAGCTATTGGATGGGTTTACATCCAAATGTCCTGGCACTACCTGCTTAAGCACAGTGGACATTCTTGAAGTCCTCCTTTCAGTCCCTAAAGTCAGCCAAAAAGAAGAACAAAAACCATGTTGTTTGGGTTAACATTACTCAAATGACAAAAAGTTATCTTCATGTGTAGCATGTTTAATTGCTGCCAAACATTGTACTTTTAAGTACCCAAAGCTTTATTAGAGATAACAAGGCAATGTTATTATTAATCAGAGATAACACACATATGCAAGATTATAGAGAGTTAGGTTTGGCAAGTGCAATCACAGAATTTAATGATAAATGGAGCAAGGCATGCATGGTGTTACTTTACAAGAAAAGCCACTTTCTGCTTATGTTGAGCTAATTCAAATAGCTGATTAAGCCAAAGAGACCAACTTCTCAAGTCACATGCTCCTGTGTCTAACACATTAGGGTTACCTCTACATGAACCCTTTGGGGTTCCATCACATGATAACTGAAACAGAATATTAGTACAAGTCTTAATGGCTTCATCCAAATCCAGTGAAAACAAACTGTACTGAAAATCATAAAGGTTGCAGATATTTTGGGAATTTCAAACTTATAAATGATGATTTAAATAAATACACATTTAATAAACATGTTCCACTTACATATTCCATGTCATAATAATATTTTAAAGTCTATGAAAGATAAATATGGGAATAAAGGGTGACTTTATTTATATTCCTCACTTCCTCTCCAATTACTCTTTTGAAAAGGGAAAAACTGAGCTGGGTGTGGTGGCTCACACCTGTAATCCCAGTACTTTGGGAGGTTGAGGCGGGAAGACTGCTTGAGCCCAGGAGTTAGAGGCCAGACTGGGCAACATAGTGAGACCCCCATCTCTAAAAAAAAAAAAAAAGAAAGAAAAAACTGAATCTCTAAAGTTCGTTACTATTTACTAGACATTAATAGTAGTAGATTTTTAAGTAAAAAGAGTTAAACTTATAATCCTTCCAGGTAAAACTTCTAAGAAGTCTTGGTGAAGGAACAGTACAAATAACAAATAACAGTACAAATAACCCTGGGAACAGAATTGACCTTTCATTAGAAGCTGTCAAGAAGAAAAGGATTATCAAGTCTTACCTGGAGATAGAGCAAAGGCTGGTCTGACAGTAAGAGTGCTGTTGCCTCTGAGTTTCTGATGGACAGAAACAGCATTCAGTAAGGCTTGCAAGTATTTCTCTTGTTCTATGCTACTGGAAGACTCTAAAGAGGAGGTAGGAGCTATAAAAGGAAAATATATTGAATAAAATAAACTGTCTCTGTATTAACAAAACAAGTTATCTATCTATCTATCTATCTATCTATCTATCTATCTATCTATCTATCTATGCTTATTTTTCTCTATATAGTCTACAAGTTACCACATCCAAATATAGAAACCAGCCCCACTTAGATTGCCAGTATATTAAATGGCTAATCCTCCATTTTAATGCTGGTTTTACCATACCTACTTCTTGATTGCCTCATTATCCTTTCAGAAAGAGCCCAGGTCTGGAAAACCAGCACAGGGCTATCCTTCCAAGCACAGATTGGGCTTGAAAGCACAGGGCATAGCTTCTCATTATCCAAGCAACTTAAAATGAATATTTACAAACAACAACTCCTTGATGATATCCCCCAACCATCCTTACCAGGTTATTGTTTGGGAGTGGGTTCCTTTGACATCCCAGAATGGGTAGAGTTAAGAACTTTCCAATATCAGTAATTTTATTTCAATAATTTGCCACACAGTCCCACCAGGGGACATGAGCCTATAAGGATTTGTAGAGGGAAGAGTGGAAGAACATGGGGAGAAGACAGGAGCAACTACTGCCAATCCCTGGTCCGTCTAAATGAGGAGCAAAAAGTATACACAATTGTGAGAGCAATTCTGGGTTGATGGGCATATGAGCCTGGTTTGGGTAAAGCAAAACAGAATCACTGAAATCGGCCCAGACATTTTAAAAGAGGAATAGGGGATGGACTCACTACAAGGACAATAGATATTCATAAATTTTCTTACAATCTGAATAGAAAATAAATAATTAGTATTATTGTATTTTATCAACTTTAATATGTCATCAATTCTAAGATGCACTGTTAGTTTATTGTCTAAGAATAAACACTGCTTATCAATAAAAAACACTGCCATTTAAACTATGACACTATTCTTTCTGATCACATCAACTGTAAGATGCATTGCAATTTCAAAGATATTAGTTGTCGGCAGGGCGCGGTGGCTCACATCTGTAATCCCAGCACTTTGGGAGGCTAAGGCGGGCAGATCACCTGAGGTCAGGAGTTCGAGACCAGCCTGACAAACATGGTGAAACCCCGTCTCTACTAAAAATACAAAAATTAGCCAGGCGTAGTGGTGGGCGCCTGTAAACCCAGCTACTTGGGAGGGTGAGGTGGGAGAATCGCTTTAACCTGGGAGGCGGAGGTTGCAGTGAGCCAAGATCGTGCCATTGCACTCCAGCTTGGGCAACAGAGTGAGACTCCGTCTCAAAACAAAAACAAAACAAAACAAAAAAACAAAAAACAAACAAAAAAAGATATGAGTTGTGAGTAAAGGTGTGAGTTGAATATGAAATACAGTAAATTTAAATTAAATTTTAAAAAATCAGCAATCAGTGGAATAAGTTTCAGTTGTTTTCCAACTAAAAGCTTAGCGATACACTTATCGGTGCTCCTAACATCATTTGCTCATTTTACATAACTTATATACACTTGTGTTCTATTTTATTATTATTTTATTTCATTTTTTTGAGACAGGGTCTCATTCTTTCAGGCTGGAGTGCAGTGGCGCAACTGTGCCTCACTATAGCCTTTACCTCATGGGCTCTAACGATTCTCCCACCTCAGCCTCTGGAATAGCTGGGACTCAGGTGCATGCCACCATGCCCGGCTAATTTTTGTACTTTTTTGTAGATATGGGGTTTTGCCATGTTGCCCAGGCTGGTCTTGAACTCCTGGGCGCAAGCAATCCTCCCACCTTGGCCTTCCAAGTAGCTGGGACTACAGGCATGAGCCATTGCACCTGGCCCCTTCTTATGTTCTAATATACCCACCAGGTGGCTTGGGAGCACACAGTGTTTCACAGGAGAAACAGTAAAAAGTCAATTGCCTTCCATTACACCAATAGTGAGACTCCAAGGCAGGTGGAAGGCTGCCCTCAGTCAACCTAATGATCAAAACATTGGCTGACTTTCAAAAAGCACACAGTTGTACCTGATGAATCAGATTCTGAGTTTACTTCATTTCCAAAGGTGGAAGAACGCAGCCATCCCTAAATTGGATCTGATATCTTAGTGGCCCAGTGTTTCAATTTTTTTTTGAGTATCTATTATGAGGCAGAAGCTATGAGAAACGTCAGCAAAACACAGCTCCTGACTTCAAGACCTCAGACATGGTACTCACAAGTAGCCTCAGAATATGGGGCAGCTGTACGTATTATTTCGCTAGCTTCCTAAAAACCTCTTTGCTTGAAAGCCCCTGAAGCAGCATTTGCAGTCATTAGTTTGTGCGTATGACTTGTAAGAATGAGGATGGATATCTCATATCATATGGCACAGAATCTCGTCTTGCCTCTGAAGCTGTTAAATGTATTTGGATGCTTCCCAGAAGAAAAAAGATTGGTATAACCTAGTTTCATCTGTGGATACTCTGGTTTGCTGGAATGAAAATTGCCTAGGACCAAAGACTTTATTATATTAATTTCTATTAAAATCCAAGTACAGACCAGACATATTAAGATGTCAAATTCAATGTGGAGCCTCACACTACCAAGTACAGTTCTTGTTTAAGCTGTACATGTTGTATGTAGCAAAATGGAAAAGTTCATGTGTGAGACAAGACTTGATGAAATGGTTCCATTCCCAGATTTTACTTCCTTTATTTTTAGTAATACCCTTATGTGAACGGGTGGTAATTGTGTTATAGAGAGATGCTTACCGGCCTGAGGGGAGTTTTGAGATTTGAAAAGACCAACGACTCCCTTCCCATGGAATCCTCCAGATCGGAGGAGCAGAGTACCACTTCTTGAGTTCTTCCAACATACAACAGGCAGGCGATTGTGTCGATAGCAGCGAGCTACTCTCGGTAAACTACTGTCCTGTACAGCTTGAGGTACAACTAAAAGGCCAGGATAGCTTCAGAGACATAGAAGGGAGAAGAGAATGATTGGGGGAAGGAGCAGAGGGGAAGAGAAGGGGAAAGAAATGAGAGAAGAGGGAGAGAGAATATAAGAAATTGAATATTAATATCATAGTAATTTTCTAAGATTCAGAAACATATTAGTTGAAGGGTAAGATATATTTCTTTTCTTTTTTAATTTAATTTTTATTTTTGTAAAGACAGGGTCTCACTTTGTTGTCCAGGCTGGTCTCAAATTTTTGGGCTCAAGCGATCCTCCTTCCTCAGCCTCCCAAAGTGCTGGGATTATGGGCATGAGCCATTGTGCCTGGTCAACATATTTCAAATATGGAATTTAGTTTCAACTCCTGAATTCTTCAGGGATTGAGAAGAAAATCCCTAGATGGTGAAAATAGCTAACTCATCCACTGATCTGTAGTCTTTTTTGGAAAAAGCCCCTTTCACTGATATTGCAGACTTCTGCTGAATAAGTTTAGAAAATAAAAATATTATGTAGAATTCTTTAAAAAGGCCTCTGTTGAACTTGCCTTATACATTACTTTTCCACAACTTGAAATAAAGATTGTAAGATTACCGGATTAATGTCAACCTCATGAGAATGACAAGTCAAACTGTCAACAATTCACAGATCACTGAGGTGACATCAGAGAATAGAGCATGCCAATATTAGACTGCCTGAGATGGTGAAAGGCTAAAAACCAAAACCAAATTATTTTTGGCATGAGAACAATATGTTCAAATGTCAAATGAGTTTAAATAGTTAATAACACTACATGTTGATACTGACTTCAAAATATTAGCTTATAAAGTTACAGGATATGATGCTGGGAAAATAACATTTAAGAATACATACAGATTAATAAATGCAAGAAGATAGGCAGGTTTCAGAGTCATTTCCCTTTTTAGTTTACTTAGAAATATTACACTAAACAGATTTTGTATTTATAACCTCCTAACTACTAAGCCTGTATCTTTTTTTTGGTGATTTTTTTTTTTTAGATGCAGTCTTGCTCTGTCACCCAGGCTGGAGTGCATTGGCATGATCTCGGCTCACTACAAGCTCCACCTCCCGGGTTCGCCATTCTCCTGCCTCAGCCTCCCGAACAGCTGGGACTACAGGCACCTGCCACCACGCCTGACTATTTTTTTTTTTATTTTTAGTAGAGACGGGGTTTCACCGTGTTGACTAGGATGGTCTTGATCTCCTGACCTCGTGATCAGCCCGCCCCAGCCTCCCAAAGTGCTGGGATTACAGGCATGAGCCACCACGCCTGGCTGGCGATTTTTAAATTTTGGTAAAATATACCTAACATAAAATTTACCATGCTATCCTTTTTTTGAGACAGAATTTCACTCTGTTGCCCAGGCTGGAGTGCAATGGCGTGATCTCGGCTTACCACAATCTCTGCCTCCAGGGTTCAAGCAATTCTCCTGCCTCAGCCTCCCGAGTAGCTGGGATTACAGGCATGTGCCACCATGCCTGGTTAATTTTGTATTTTCAGCAGAGACGTTTCTCCATGTTGGTCAGGCTGGTCTTGAACTCCCAACCTCAGGTGATCCACATGCCTCGCCCTCCTAAAGTGCTGGGATTACAGGCGTGAGCCACTGCGCCCGGCCCATGGTATCCTTATTTATTTTATTTATTTATTTATTTATTTTTTGAGACAGAGTTTCGCTGTTTATGCCTAGGCTGGAGTGCAGTGGTGCGATCTCGGCTCACCACAACCTCCGCCTCCCGGTTCAGGCAATTCTCCTGCCTCAGCCTTCCGAGTAGCTGGGATTACAGACATGCGCCACCAAACCCGGCTATTTTTGTATTTTTGGTAGAGATGGGGTTTCTCCATGTTGGTCAGGCTGGTCTCGGACTCCCAACCTTAGGTGCTCCGCCCACCTTGGCCTCCCGAAGTGCTGGGATTCATGCTATCCTTTTTTATGTGTACAAACCAGTGGCATTTAGTACATTCCCAATGTTGTGCAACTACCACCACTATCCATTTCCAGAACTTCTTATCCCTTATCTTGATAAGAACCAGTGCTGAGAGGAGGGAGAGGAAATCTAGTTTATGGTCACATAAATCATAACCTTCAACTACTTTACTGAATGCCAAATTAACTTTCCATACCTAACCAATGATACCTTAGAAGCATTTGGAAAGCCTAGGGCTTTGGTGCTCTAGGAAGTTGTGACCTGAATTTTTCTAATACCACAAACTGATGAAAAGACCAAGCTACAGACATAGTCACTCATGAAGACTGAAAAGTCAGTTCCATGATTAGGACCCTCTATCTCCACCTGAATATCAGTTTTTCCCAACTTGCTTCAAGATACAGTGTGTATTAGATAAGGAAGTAATGTTTAATGGCTCCAGGAGCTACTTCAATAACTGGTAAAGAAGGAGCACACTCCTTCACTCCCTGCCCTTCATCTCCTTGCACTGTGAATGAGCACTACACACAGACCATGCTCTGTTACATACAAGATCTACGACTCTCTCCTGCTTCCTGACGCGGGCTTGCATGACAGCTGGATAGCCCCTAGTGCTGGGGCAAATAGTGTGAAGCCTAAAGACCAATAGAAGCCACTCTCAGTACCAGTCTCATTTCATAATGAAAGATATCAATTTCCCATCCTAACCCACTACTCAGAGCCTTCAGCTCTGGGCTCCACAGTTAACTCTCAAGAGGTAGACTAGGCTTCAGAAGCTGTTGTGGAAACTTTTTAATTCAAGCATAATTCACATACAAGTGCTCAAAATCCAGGTGATATCACTACCACCTAGGTCAAGAAATGGACCACTACAAGCATCCAAGATCTAGTATTTCCTCCCAGTCACTATTTCTTCCTCCTCCTTAAAGATTACCACTATCCTGCCTGGCACGGTGGCTTACACCTGTAATCCCAGCACTTGGGAGGCTGAGCTGGGAGGATTGCTTGAGCCTAGGAGCTCGAGACCAGCCTGGGCAACATAGTGAGACCTCTTCTCTACAAAAATAAATAAAGTAAAAAGAAAATTAGCCAGATTTGGTGGGATGCGCCTAGTACCAGCTACTCAGAAGGCTGAGATGGAAGGATCGCTTGAGCCAGGGAGGTTGAGGCTGCAGTGAATTGGAATCGCATCACTGCACTCCAGCCTGGGAGACAGAGCAAGACCGTGTCTCAAAAAAAAAAAAAAAAAAAAAAGATTACTACTGTCCTGAATGCTAACAATGTGGATGAGTTTCGCTTCTTTTTGAATTCTAGATAAAGGGAATCAACAGAGTTTATTCTTTCATGTTTGGCTTCTTTTGCTCAATATTATGTTTATGAGCTCCATTTGTGTTATTGTACTCACGTGTAGTTTGTTCATTTTCATTACTGTATAGTATTTCACTGTGTGAGTATAATACCATTTATTTACTCTCTTGTTGATTTTGAGTAGTTTCTAGTTTTTTTAATTATTAAGAATGTTGCCATGAACATTCTTGTAGATGTCTTTTGGGAGCACGTATATATTTCTGTTAGAAATTCTACTCTACCTAAGAGGAGAATTTCTAGGTAACAGGTTATGAATATGTTCAGTAGATGTTTAAATGTTTAGATAGCATTAGACAACTTTCCAAAGTTATTTAACCAATTTATAGTCCTTTTTACTCTCTTGATATCTCCTGATATACAGAAGTTCTAACTTTATTAATTTTTTACTTTATAGATAATGTTTTTCCCATCCCAAGAAATCTTTCCCTATACTTCAAGGTCATGAAGACATTCTCTTATCTTCTAGAAGCTTTATTGTTTTAAGTTTGTTTTAACCTTAATAACAAACCTATTGTTTTATTGTTTTAACCTTTTACATATAGATCTATATGTCAATGGGAATTAACTTTTGTAAATGGTATAAGGTAGAGGTCAAGATTAATTTTTCCCAGCATCCTTTATTGAAAAAAACATCTTCTATCCACTGCTCTTGTGTTATTTTTATCTTAAATCAAGTATCCACATACGTTGGGGTGTTTCTGTTTAATATATTCCCTGTTTTGCTCCACTGGTCAATTTGTTCATTCTCGTGTCAATCCTATACTGTCTTATTTACTGTAGCTTTATAAAAAGTCTTGACATCCTATAGTATTATTCTGTAATACTTGGCTACTCTTTGTCTTCTGCATTTTTATGTAACTCTTAGAATTACCTTTTCAGTTTCCATTAACACTTTGCTGAGATTGGGACTCTGTTGATTCTATAGAACAATTTCAGGAAAATTCAGTTTTAGAATATTGAATATTCTAATCTAAGAACCTGAAATATCTACTTATTTAGCTCTTCAATGATCTTCAATATTGTTTTAAGTATTCCATGTAGAGGTCTTGCACAGGTTATTAGATTCATCTAAGTAATGTTTTTTAGTGCTACTGTAAATAGTAGGAATAGTACCAAAACAGCATCACTTTTTGAAAATTTCATTTTGTAATAATGTTTTAAATATATATATGACTAATTATTGTAAATGACCTTGTACTAGTGACCTTATCAGTGACCCTGTACTAAGTCCACTTAATAATTTTAAAAGTTTATGGGTAGATTCCTTCAGATTTTCTACATGTGCATTTTGGTCATCTGTGAGTAATGGCAGTTTTATTTCTTTCTTTTCAATCTTTATACCTTTTATTACTTTTCTTGTCTCTCTGCACTACCTAAGACCTCTAGTACAACACTGAATAGAAATGGTGATAATGGGCATCCTTGTCTGGATTTCAGAGAAAAAGCTTTTAATATTTTATTTAATTTTAAGATAAGTAATTTCCTTGTAGGATTTCTAAGACGGAAGATTAAGGAGCTACCCACTGTTCCACTGCAGATGCCTCTGAGGCCTTCGGGGTGCTACTCATGGGGAGCTCATTGTTACTCTATTTTGCTGAGAGCTTTTTTCTAAAAGTCATAAATGTGACAAAAAATATAGAATTTACATACATAAATTCACATAAATAAAACTCATAAGTGTACTCTGCATTTCCAAAATGCTTTTCTTTATATAATAAACTTCTTTTTAATTCTGTTAATGTGGTAAATTACACTGACTGATTTTCAGATGTCAAACCAGTACTCTATTCCTATAATAAACTCCATTTGGTCTTAATGAATTACTGTGTGTAAAATAAACCTTTTGTCATTATGAACCATCCTTTCTTATTGCTTTTAAAGTCACTTTGATATTCATATAGTGACAACAACTTTTTTTAAAGTTAGTTTTGTGTGGTATATTTTTTCTATCCTTTTACTTTCTACCTTTTTACATATTTGTATATTAGATTTGTCCCTTAAAAGCAGCAGAAAGCTTTTTTTTTTCTTTTGAGACAGAGTGTTGCTCTGTCACCAGGCTGGAGTGCAGTGGTGTGATCTCGGCTCACTGTAACCTCCGCCTCCAAGGTTCAAGTGATTCTCCTGCCTCAGCCTCCCGAGTACCTGGGACTACAGGTATGCACCACCATGCCCAGCTAATTTTTGTATTTTTAGTAGATACATGTTGGCCAGGATGGTCTCCATCTCTTGACCTCGTGATCCACCCATCTTGGCCTCCCAAAGTGCTGGGATTACAGGCATGAGCCACTGTGCCCACCTTTTTTTTTTTTTTTTTTTTTTTTTAAAGCAAAGCCTGATCTCTTTCTTTGAATTGGAACATTTAGTCAATTAATAATTAATGCAATTATGGATATATTTGAATTTAAATCTACCATCTTAGTACTTGTTATTTATTCCATTTGTTCTATATCCCCTTTTTTTTCCTTTCTTGCCTTCTTTTGGATTATTTTTTATTCCATTTCCTTCCTGCTAAAACTTAATGGATATATATTACTTTTTACCACCATAAATGCTTTATAAACAGTGTTCTAATAAGTCATCTACTAAAATTTTATTTTACTTCTGACAGATTGGAATGATAAATGAGTCCGTTTTCTCAATGGCTGGCATAATTTTGATAGCAAACTTTCCAAACAGCAGGACATCATACCCCAACAACACGACTTATCTTCAGAGAAAATTTAGTTAGAATGACAGAGAATTCCAGAAAAATTACTGCATACTGAGAGTCCCAATTTTTCAGAACTTCATTCAAAATATTTATTTGGCCACAATCTCAAAACTATATTCCCAACTTGTTTCTCAAGTTTCATATTAATATTTGTAAACTTAAATTGTCATTTAAAATGACATATCTATCTTCAAGAGCAACAGAGTTGAAACCAACAGTAACATTAAGACAACTTTCTAAAATATGTACAAAGCTTACAATTTACAAAGTGCTTTCAGAGCTGTTTAAGCAGGAATTTATAAATGCAAAGAAAACAACTTACCTAGAGATGAAAATGACTAAACTTGTGAATGGTGAAAACGTAATTTTAGAAAATATATATTTACATATAGTAAAGCATGGAATAAGGCTCAAAATATTCGAAAACCAGTGAGAGATGACAAGAACAGGAAAAAGAAAATGTCTCTTTATTTACATCCTTTAAGTAATATTCCCTTGAAAACATTCCAGTTAGACGGCGTAAGAAACCCTTGCCTACACCTGGGTCAGCAAATTATAGCCTGTGGGCCACAAATGGCCATGCCCACTCATTTCCTCACTCTCTGTGGCTGCTTTTGCGGCACAGTTGAATAGTTGCAACAAAAGACTCTATGGCTCATAAACTGAAAATATGTACCAACTGACCCTTTATAGAAAGAGTTTGTGGCTCCCCAGCCTACAAATGACTTTCATGTCTTCTATTGGCCTGGGAAAATCCTGTTCTTCAAGTTATCTTTAGTTATGCTAGAAAAGAAGCAAACTGGGAAGAGAGAGACAAGAGAAATTCATAGAGGGGTGAGTAGTTTACCTTTCACCTTCTTACCTACTGGAGGTACTTTCAGTAAGGTAATTGTTCCAAAAATGCCAATGAGATGCTTGCTCATATCCTGGAAACCCTGTTCTTATTTTCAGGCATTTTTATCTATCTCAGGGCTATGGATGCAAATGGCCTATTAAAGATTCAAATGAGAAGAAAGGAAAGAAGACCTCTTTTTGGAGCCCACTGACACACTTACCTCCGGCAGAGTGAATACATCCTGTTGGAGGCAGTAATTCGAAAATACTCGGGTCTTGAACGGGAAGAGCTGCCACTTATGGTTCCTAAACCTAAACGCTGATAGTCTCTGAAACAAGCCTTTTCCACCAACTGTTCCATTGTAGACTTCTCGGAGGCCTTCAGGGTGGTACTTGTGGGGAGCTCACTCTCATCTGAAACTGGGACGGTAGAGACAGATATTGAAGAAATGATTAGCTCAAAGCACAGGATTAAAAACTTCCTTTTGGGCTGGGCATGGTGGCTCACACCTGTAATCCCAGCACTTTGGGAGGCCGAGGCAGGCGGATCACGAGGTCAGGAGTTCGAGACCAGCCTGACCAACATGGTAAAATCTCATCTCTACTAAAACTACAAAAAATTGGCCTGGCGTGGTGGCAGTCACCTGTAATCCCAGCTACTTGGGAGGCTGAGGCAGGAGAATCACTGGAACCCGGGAGGTGGAGGTTGCAGTGAGCTGAGACTGTGCCACAGCACTGCAGCCTGGGCAACCGAGCAAGACTCTGTCTCAAAAACAAACAAACAAACAAACAAAAAAACCCAAAAAAGTCCCACTTCCTTTTGAAGAAGACCCTTACACCAAGACAGGTTTATATTAGGATGACAAGTATTATGTATATCACAAATTAAATCATATAACTTCTGTGAGGGATCACACTTAAATAAACATAAATTAAAAGTGTAATGAATAGTCAAGAAATAAAATATCAGTAATTCAACTAAAAAATGTCAGGAAAATAATACCTTTAAATAATTTCTAAAAACAATATAATTTTGAATTTATTACCTACACTGTTCTGTTTCACGCAGGCTTGCTTATTGTCAAATTGCAGTGATTTCCATTTAGGACTCTATAAAAACACCCAAAGTTTGTCAGAGGCTAACCCATCAGTAAAATTTATCTTTCGTATAATCACTATACAAGCTCATCATCCAGATTTCGGTTTACTTTTCAGACCATAAACTTTTACTAGAAATTTCTGGATTAACCAGAAGTTCATTAGAGGGAAAAAGAACTGTATTTCCTCAGAGAGGTATAAAGAAGTTACACTTTTTTCCTGGAAATATTTTTGTTAGAGGATGTGGTGTACGTGGGAAACCCCCTCACAGTTTTACAATCACAGGTTACAGAATCCTTTACGATTTTAGATGTGGAAGAATTTACTCAATAATCAAATATTTTAGGGAGGCTTTTTTTTTTAAAAGGACATTCCTAATTGGTACTGCATGTTCTAACTGGAAAAAAAAAAAAAAAAAAAAACAAATTCCATGTTAAAAACTGTCCTAATTTACTTCCTTATTTATTTTGAAAGTAAGAGACATCAAATCAAGCTTTCAAAGTTTTTGAAAATGTACTCAAAGTACTAATGTGCAGGCAAAGCTATGGCCCTCTTTCATTAAAATATATTTTATAAAAGCAGAAAATCAACAGCTGTGTTTCAATTTGTGAACTTCAATTCGTGTTTCAATTTGTGAACTTCACAATGCAATATAATCAGGTATCAATTCTGTGTTGGCCTTTTATTTTCAGAGGAGCAAAGAACATTATATAATTTTGTCTTTTAGAATAATTATCATAGAATAATAAGTTTTGTTCCATGAAACATAAAAAAATTGAGTTAGAAGAGTCAATAGTGATGGGTAGCAATAATATTTTTATGGCTTGACATACGACTGCGAAAAGATCAGGGTTCCAACAAATGGTTATTTCAGTAATGTAATGGTGGGTATTTTCACTGCCCCCAGAGGCAAGCTTGTATGTATACATTCTCACCTAGGGCATGCATACATACATACAAAACCACATAGGTTCTTTTTTATTTTTATTTTTTGAGGCAGAGTCTTGCTCTGTCCCACCCAGGCTGGAGTGCAGTGGTGCCATCTTGGCTCACTGCAACCTTCTCCTCCCAAGTTCAAGCAATTCTCATGCCTCAGCCCCCTGAGCAGTTGGGACTACAGGTGCGTGCCACCATGCCTGGCTAAAATTTTGTATTTTTAGTAGAGACAGGGTTTCGCCATGTTGGCCAGGCTGGTCTCGAACTCCTGGCCTCAAGTGATCTGCCTGCCTTAGCCTCCCAGAGTGCTGGGATTATAGGCATGAGCCACTGTGCCCAGCCCACATAGGTTCTTTATCCCAGCAACTGAAAATGGAGACCTGTTAGCCAGTGCTTTCTCTAAAGATGAGGTTTCTTTTTAAAAATGTTGTTGTTAGTAGTAGTAGTTCTTGCATAACCACTGGTGACTGATTCTAAGATCCTGAAGGGGAAAAAAAGGGTGTAATGGCATTCTGCCTCCCATTATATCACCTTTTCTGTAGTGCTGATTCCATAGCATATTTGATACTGGGTTAAGAATGGGAAACAGTCACTCAGACATTTTGCTACTAGCTTTCTGCCTCTATTTTTCCCACTCAGAGGTATTGTAGCTGTTCTTTCAAATATTTAGCAAGTATTTTTTCTCATGACCTAAGTATTCCTTCATCTTAGGTCCCCCATTTTGATTAAGAGCACCAACAATGTTCTTACCAAAAACTGAAATCTTCAACTTGAAATGTTCAATGTCCTTACCTTAAATTCTTATTCTAGAAGAATAAGATACAGGGGACTACCCTATACCTAAATTTCCCATGCAGTGAGGTTTCCTTCTTTCTTCTTTTAATGAGACCCACATAAAAATGACCAATTAGCTGTATGGATTTAGTAAAGAAGAAGTATAATTTAACAAAATATTACCTGAACAATGGAATACTGGGAAAATATTTTTCCCCCAGTTCTAAGAAGCTGGTAAGTGCTTCCATCTTCTCATGAGATCTAGGTTTTCGTGAATCAAAATTTAAGCGCAACTACATCTTAGTCTCTTATTCATATAAGAAAGTTGAATAATGAAGGAAATTCAAGTTCTCACATACCAGATACATCATCATCTTCATTCCATCCAGGACGATTTACTCTTTCTTCCACAATTGTCCCTGTCTTCTTCTTCAGTAAATATTGCCGTCCAATTGTCATTTTCCCTGCCCTTTTGGCACCTTTCACAATTGTTTTTGAGAAGGTACTACAAGTCATAAAACCAAAGAGAATGTCAACTTAATATAAAAGCACTACTTGTATTGTTGATACCTACTTAGCTCAAATTGTTTCTTTTCCTTTCCCACAGCCACTACTGGTCCAGACTTTTGTTAAGCCTCTCCTTCTTTAGGTTATTTTTAATATGGCAGTAAACTAATTTCCCATAAAACATCATTGTCATCAGGACACTGTCTTAGGCAAAACGTGCAGGAAAACGTAAAGTGAGACGCAAACTACTTATCACCCCAAATCTAAACTCCTTGGTTTGGCTTTTTGGGGAGGACTGCCCTGAACCCACTCTGGTTATCCCCATGCCACTGTCCCTATCACAGTTCCCACAAAGCATGCTTGTTGGAGTCCTCCTACATGGAAAGCTAGCCTGCCTGCTTCTCTACTTACTCAAACTCTCTTTCTACCAACTCCCAAGACTTTCTCTAAGATCATATGACCTTCATAGTTGGCAATACATTTGCTTATTTCTTAACTGTTTTAAGTGTGTATATGTGATGTCCTGACTCTAATTAGCTGTAAACCTTAAGAAGCATAGAAAAATAATATAATTCCCCTTTTTTGAGAGGATAAAAATAAATCAGAAACTTGAGTATCCTTTTGAGAATCAGCTTTAATTAAAGGGAAATTAAGATGTAAATCATTTGGACCTAAAAGTACTTTATTTATTCAAACAATTTACCCCTTCTTGCTGACAAAATCTAGGCAATCCAGAGAATTAAACAGAGAACCTATTTCCTGACTAATCAGATGGAGGTGAAGATTCTGAAGACTGTTCTTGATTATTGATTATATTCTTCTCTATCACAAATAACTCTTCTGGTGTTTTCCTGCCATTCAGTAAAAAGTGATAAGGCTTCTTTTATGGTCAAACAGTTTCACCAGACTCCGTCTTTAGTTATTTGCAATGTAAACCTGAAGGTTATGAAACAAGTTTGAGATAACTGCTGGGAAGCATAGAATACTGATATTTGCTAAATTAAACCTATTGTAAGTCACTTGTATAACTTTTATTTTTATTTTTTAATTTTTATTAGTGGGCTTTCTGGCAAAAAATGGAAAGCCCGCTAGACAAATTCCAAAAGAGCTGTAACACCAGGTATAACTTAAACTCTATGGGAGTTCTGAACTTTTTTCCCAGCTAAAGCTATATCTTTTGTTTCATATACCCAGGCAACTCTTAAAATTGCTATATCTCTGTTGCAGCTGATACAACAGGCTTGATACAAGTATATATTTCTGAAACTAATATAAATATACATGTTTCTGATAGTTTGTAAATGTAAAATATCACACAAAGCTTTGTCTCTTCCATTGAAGGCTGAGATAACAAACATCATAGGCTCCTCTGCAACCCTATGGTGCTAAGACAAGATGCTTGGTCCACTGCTGTAAATCCCTAGGAACTTGGTCATGCTTCAGCATACCATACCTGGATATTTCTGGTCTCCTTTGCTTACCAGGTAATACAGGTGGCTAGCTGTGCAACTGAGAAATAATATACTGTCTGAAACCTCAAATCTTCTATAATCCCCAATCTACCCTTCTTTCAGGCAAAAGGAATGGCCTCTTTTCCAAAGTCTGTAAAGCTCTCCCTAGTATTATAATTTGTATTGGCAGATGCCCACATTCTACATGGTTAACAATGAATGAAATTTTAGCCCTTATATTTTATCACTGATGGAAGATAACTTAAAACAACTGTTATTTTGTAATAACTGAAGTTTAAAACTTTCAACATAAATTTCTAAAAACTTTCTAGAAAATAAGGGTTCATACTGAAGAAATATGACAACCAAATGCAATGCCTGATCCTGGATTAGATCCTGGACCAGGAATAAAAAAGTTTAGGTACTAAACTAAAAAAGGATCATTAACACAATGTGAATATAGACTCTGGGTTAGGTAAAAGTTTTATATTAATTAAATTTTCCGGTTTTGATTACTGTGCTTATGTAAGATAATGTTGGGCAAGGGGATAGAGGGCATTAGGACAAATACCTAATGCATGTGGGGCTTAAAACCTAGATGACAGGTTGATGGGTGTAGCAAACCACCATGGCACATGTATACCTATGTAATAAACCTGTGCGTTCTGCACATATATTCCAGAACTTAAAGTATAATAAATAAATTTAAAAAATAAAAAAAATAAAAGGTAATATCTTTGTTCTTAGGAAATATATTTAAGGATAAATACATTACTTAACGTATTTATGTGATGTACTTAAGGATAAAGGGACATCTTATATCTAACTCAAATGGCTCAAAAAAAAAAAATGTGTATATATAAGAGAGAGAATGATAAACAAATGGACCAAAGTAGAAACTCTTGGTGAATCTGGGTAAAATATATACAGAAATTCTTTGTACTACTGTTATGAATTTTCTGTAAGTTTGGAATGTTCAAAAGAGTTACGTAAAACAGAAAATAAAGCCTCCTGTTTCTAGATAAAAGCAAATCTGTCCACTGGGCCTGGATATTAATAAAAGCTGAAGGAACTGGTCAAAAGCATTTAGAAAGTGATCAATATGAAAAAAAGAGAAAATAGAATTTCACATTCTAAAAAAGGATTGTGAGCAATGGACATGACAGTCAAAGCCTCTGATAGCTTTTAGTGTTTGAAACTTGCTACATTTATCAATGCTGCTGTTCCATAACTTTATGATCTTGGCCCCATGGGCTTGACAGAAACAGAACAGTGAATGAAAAGAGCAATTGCTTACACCTGGACACAAAGGATAGGTCACTCCTTTTGCAATCAATTATGGGAGGGCTGAAATTAACAGACTCGTCTTTCTTCTTACCGAAAAGAAGTGTTCTTTTCCTTCTGTTTTGGTAAAATTATTTGTGGGGTAGTCTGTCCAGCAGCAAAAGCAAAGGTGCTGAAAATGGACTGAGGATAACGGAACTTCATCAGCTGTTTCTTAAAGATCTCTACCAGTTCTGGACTGACTTCTTCATCAAATGCTACCTTAATCAACTAGAAGCAAAAGAGATTAAACACAAAAGAAGCATTAAGGATTTCCAGGCAACTTTCCCCCAAACAACAGAATATAATAACACAAAATGGCAAGACTGGAGGTTGAAGGGACTTTGGATGACATGCACACAATTTTTAAATTTTTAAAAATAAAAGGCTCAAAAAGGTTTATTTGCCATAAATGGCTAGTTGGCAAGGAAAATCATGTATCTTCAAGTCAGTTTCTTTAAGATTATTTCTTCTACAATGGGATAGGGAATTGTACTAGCAAACATGCCCTTCTCATTTCTCAACTGGTTGGTAGCAGATAGAGAGTTTGGCCTAATAAGGACTCTTCCTACCCAGATACAACAAATGTAGGAAGAAAAAAAATCCATTTGACTAGAATCCTAATCAGTACAGCTAGGCAATATTCAAGTGTGGAGTTCTTTGGAAGTTGGAACAGTGAGGAAATCCTTAGGCAGCCAGTGTTTTCAGGTGATGAGAGGTCTGGAGCCTAAAGATCAGCAGCCTTACATTTCACACAATTAGCACAGAAGCCAATAGGAGAGATCCTTGACTAGAAGGTATGAGGCAAGAACTGAAATCTGAAAAGTGATGAAGAATAAGAAAAGCAAAATATTACAAACTGAGAATTTAAAAAAAGGAAAAACTAAGAAAAGGTCACTTCTTCCAGGGTCTGGTTTGCATCAGTAATTCTACAAAGTTCTGACATAGTCATAAACTCCTGGGAAACCTCTTGCTTTATCAGGGGTATGCAACTAGTACCAATAGAACTTTAGCCCTAGCTATACTTTTTACCTCTCCACAGAACAGCCACAGGGCGTTTCCTTCAAAACAGATGCCAAGACAACTGCTTTTTATCTAAAGGCTTCATCAAACAGGTACTGAGGTATAACTTGGGAGAGAATAAGAACAAATTGTATGTGTCTAAGTTTCTAAGATCACTCATTATTGAGTATCTGTTGGTACTCTGAGTTCACTAAGGGGCTCCAAGGATTAAATCCAATACCATTCATGAGTTTACTGAGTTGATGATTACCCTCTCAGAGCCTATGATCTTCCCCATTCTCACCCTCGTAACTTCTGAGCACATGACCACAGAAAATGGCCACAATATCATTTGACTTTTGAAAATTTTTGAATAGTAAAACAATGGCTTCCTTTTTTAATACCTGAAAAGATGCTGATGTGATCTGCAGTCCTTCTTGCATGTTCTGCTGTAGCTGGTTCTGCATTGTAATCTTCTTCTCCTTGGTGATGGAGGCAATGGGAAAGCTCCGCACAACTGTCTGCTCACCCACTGTAAACAGACGGGACACAGCTTTAGCAACAACACTTTATAGCTCACTTCTAGAGTGTCTACTGCTCACTTCATCAGTCACTGCTGGAGAAATGTATTTGAAGAGGACACTGCCCAGGGATGCAGTGAAAGAAAGTGCCCTTCACTCCTGGAAAGGATTATGTCTCAGGAGCAGCAAGTGACTTACATTTCACACAGTTAGCATAGGAGGCAATAGAAGGGATCCTTGACCAGAAGGAATGAAGCAAGAACTGGAATTCTTGGAAATCTGAGAAGTTAGAGACAAGTGACTTGCCACTCCTGAGACAGAATCCTTTCCTGGAGTGAAGAAACTGTCACAGCCTGACTGCCTTCATTCTTTCTATCTCCCCAACCTACTGTGTGCCACACAAGATCACCTGGTTCAAGGCAATTTTATACGAAGGGAGGTTTTGTACAAAAAAAAAAAAGTACTCCTCAAGTATTGAAAAGACATCCAAGATATTTAATGTAAGGATGAAGCAAAAGAGAACAGGTTTTTAAAGTTTGCTTCCATATATGGTAAAAGGTGTTATACTATATATGTGTGACTTTGGAAAACAAGCCTGGACTTAGGCGCATGATTTTTAGGAGTTTATTAAAGCAAACATGGGAAAATATAAATAATTATTTATCAAGTACCTGAGGTTACGAAGATGAGAGTCTAGAAAAAAGTAGCACACTCAAGACCTCCCTTGAAGAGCTTCCAATTTCCCGTGGGAGGAGAGTCACATGCAGAATATAATAATATGTGGTTAGCTCTTACGTTTGAGGGAACAGACTACAGGGATTTAAATATTTCAGAGAAGGATCTCTGCATGCTAGATGGATAGAAAATGATTTCTGGGAGAAGTGAGGGAGAAGCTGAGCTTTAAAGGAAGTGTAGAATCTGGATTTGCAGAAGGGAAAGAAAGAGCATTTTAGGCAGTGGTAGAAGAACATAACAGGAGTGGCAATGAACAAGGCCTCCCAGCTAGTAAGCCAGGGTGGGGAGGAGGTGGGGAGATGTGAACTAGGTTCATCTTGTTTAACAGCCCATACATTTCTTCATTTATTATAATCAGAATCCTAATTCCCTGGATCTATCAACCTGTACTCTAGAAAAATTCTGACTCTCTTTTTATATCAAGCTCATATCCAGAGGCTAAGCAAAGTCAGGATGTACATAGGATTTAAGTTCTAGGATGTATTTAACACCTACATTTATATAACATGTAAAATTATAATATTTATATGTGTCATTAAAGGAGAAATTTTAAATTAGAAATTTAAAAGGAAATAAAAATATTTTCTTTGACAAAAATAATTTTCCTAAGTGAAATTAATCCAAAATTTGAAAGGAAAAAGCCAGAGAATATGAGATTTCACACTAAGCATGACTTTAAAATAAATTACAGCAATTTAAATGACCACATAAGTATCACATGTTTATGTGTCCAAAATGTATGTTTATGGCCATTAATCTCACAAAAGTCCTACTATAAAAAATTGTAAGTACTGTATGGTTTCTTTTAAAAGTACATTTACTTTCAAATACAATTTGTGTACAGCAATATGAAGGAGTGGGCTAAGACATTTTTTCTCCTTTTCACTTTTTCAAAATAAGCAGAACTATTCTTACAAATTCATCTTTTCTTATTTAATTTTACGAACTTGTTGCACATTATATGGTAAGCAGTCTTTTATGACTGATATACTAAATCATCTTGATTCTATTCAACCTAGGGATAATGCAACTGTTAAGATTTAAAAGAGAATACATTTTATATATCTGAATTCAATTGTCCAACAAATGAGTAGCACATAGTGCATACTCATCAAATGCTACTAAATACATAATTTCAGAGGAGAAAGGCACTTTAGTGACCATTTAGCCCAATGGTTCTCAATCACAATCACTTGTGGGGCTAAAGAAATACACAGATGCCTGGGTCTCCCTATTTCTACTGCTTCAGATTCTAATTCAATTGTTTGAGGGTTGGGCCCAGAAACTGGTATTTTTTTTTAAAGATTCCCAGATAATTCAAATATGTAGTCAACGTTAAGAACCACTGAATTATCACCAAAGAAAGCCCAATCTCCCAATTTTATAAAAGAGGAAAATAAAGTACAGAAATGTTAAGTGACTTAAGTCACTGAGCTCTGACTTGGAGTCCTATTGTTTTGCCCAAAAGTCTTAATTATGTGCTTTTCCTATCAACAAGAGCATTTTACATACAGACTATAGTGACTTTAAGAAGATAATGTAGATTACTTCTGGTAGGGCATGCTATTCCTTTCTAATATAGAAGGCTGTACTGAATAGTAGAAAATAGAAATAGAAGTTATAGGAGTTTGGCAAGTAGAAGAGAAGTTGTCTGCCAAAAGGGAAGTGGGGTTAATTGGAATGGAATAAGAGGGAAGTGGGATTGGTGCTGGACAACCTTGTGATGGTTAGCATATCCTTCCACAAAAAGGTTCAAGTATCTGCAAGACCTTAGTTTTACAGTTAACTGTAGGACTCAGAAAGCGGAGACAAACCAGCAAGGAATATATTCAGCAGTTAGAGTGAATATCTCTAGGTTATAATACTCTGCCCCATGAAATTATGATCATTTCAGCAAATGAACCCTTGATTTATTGTTTAGAAGACAACCCTTTGTTCTTCAAGTAAAAAACTATGACCCAAATTATCATTAGCTCTGTTCATCTAAAGTATTTCACCAAAATACCTGTGTGGCAAAAAGCTTACTTTGGATTTAAAATGATCTGCAAATCACTGTGCACAGATGGGATCGAAACCTCATGTACCACGCAGATATCCATGTTCTGATGGCATATTGAGTCATACCTAACTGATCATGGGGGGTTCCTCTGAAGAGAATTCTGTATGTGGTGAGGAACAAGGCTCCTTCTGCTGGCAGGAGCTGAGGGCCTCCAAGAAGACCTCCAGTAGCTTCTTCTCTTCCATCAGGATCCAGTAAGACTCGAAGACCCTCACAGACAATTTCTTCTCCTGGCAGCAGAGCAGGTCTAAGAATCTTGGGCTTACAACAGAAAAAGATTGATTGACTCACAAATTGATTGATTTTTGGAGACAGGGTCTTGCTCTCTTGCACAGCCTAGAATACAGTAGTGCAATCATAGTTCACTGCAGCATCAAACTCCTGGGCTCAAAAGATCCTCTGACCTCAGCCTCCTGAGTAGCTGAGACTACAGGCATGCACCACTATGCCTGGCTGATTTTTAAAGTTTTTTGTACAGACGGGATCCTGCTACATTGCCCAGGCTGGTCTCAAACTCCTGGCCTCAAGCAATACTCCTGCCCCAGCCTCCCAAAGTGCTAGGATTACAGGCATGAGCCACCATACCTGGCTAGAGAAAGTATTGTAAACACAACTTTTGTGGAGTTTCTAATACTCAGACCATGGTGATCTTTTCAATTATAGACCTAAAAATCTTAAGCCAGACTTCCCAGATAGTCACATGAGAAAGTTGATTTGGTAAGAGGCAGAAATGAAGTTTATACATCCAAATGTGGGAGGATTCTTTGCAGAACTGTCTAAAAGTAAAATCAGTGGGAAACAACTCAAATATCTGAAATATTCATTCAATGAAACATTCTGTAACCTTTAAAATATGACATAGATCTATATGTGTTAACATGGAAAAATATTCAGAAGGCCTGGTGCGGTGGCTCATGCCTGTAAACCCAGCACTCTGGGAGGCCAAGGCAGGTGGATCACTTGAGATCAGGAGTTCGAGACCAGCCTGGCCAACATGGTAAAACCCTGCCTCTACTAAAAATACAAAAATTAGCTGGGTGTGGTGGCAGGTGCCTGTAATCCCAGCTACTCATGAGGCTGAGGCAGGAGAATTGCTTGAACCTGGGAGGGGGAGGTTGCAGTGAGCCAAGATTGTGCCACTGCACTCCAGCCTGGGTGACAAAGCAAGACTCCATCTCGGGGAAAAAAAAAAAAAAAAATCCAGAATACACTGATAAGTTAAAAAAGCAAGTTAGAAACCAGTATGTACATTATAATCTCATTTCTGGAAAAAGAAAAGGAATTGTAAGACTATGAACTAAACTATTAAAGGCGATGGTATCATAGTTAAGGGTGGAGGTGGAGGTAGTATAGGGAGGACTACAAGGGACTTTCACTTTGTACAATGTGTATTTCTTTTATGCTCAAATTTATACTAAGAACATTATTACTTTTGAAATTATTTGGACATTTTTTTTTTTTTTTTTGAGACGGAGTCTTGCTTTGTCATCCAGGCTGGAGTGCAGTGGCACGACCTCCACTCACTGCAAGTGCCGCTTCCCGGGTTCACACCATTCTCCTGCCTCAGCCTCCCATATAGCTGGGACTACAGGCGCCCGCCAGCACGCCCGGCTCATTTTTTAAAATGTATTTTTAGTAGAGACGGGGTTTCACCATGTTAGCCAGGATGGTCTGGATCTCCTGACCTCGTGATCCGCCCGTCTCAGCCTCCCAAAGTGCTGGGATTACAGGCGTGAGCCACCGCACCCGGTCTATTTGGACATTATTATTTCTGTTTTTGAAAAAAAAAAAAATACGGAGGAGCTTTTAACAAGACCTGTCCTTCTTGGCCACGTAATGAACATTTACACAACTCAGGAAATTCTGACTCAGTAACCACATAATACATTCCTCTGAAGAGTTTAGGGCTAGGAAAAAAAATCTCTCCTGAATGTCTAATATGCTTATTTTTTACTAAGCAATAAGAACTAATCAGCAGTATTCTTTTTGTTGGCTCTAGTGACTTTAGAGCTAAATGTAAAGTCAAAGTATAATAATCACTATGTCTCAGGTTTCTGTTAGAATTATATTCCTACCTATCTGGCTTCTGCTCGCTCCTATGAATGAATGAATGAATGAATGAATGAAATGAATTTACTTATTTATTTATTTATTTGTTTATGAGACTGGGTCTTGCTCTGTCACCCAGACTGCAGTGCAATGACATGATCTCAGTTCACTGCAGCCTCAACCTCTTGGCCTCAAGTGATCCTCCCACCTCGGCCGCCTGAGTATCTGGAACTACAGATAACACTACCATAGTTGGCTAACTTTTAAATTATTTTTTGAAGAGATGGGGTTTCATCATGTTGCCCAGGCTGGTCTCAAACTCCTGGCTCAAGTCATCTGCCTGCCTTGGACTACCAAAGTGTTGGGATTATAGGCTTGAGCCATGGCTCCTGGCCTCAATTTGTTTTTGTTCTATTATAAAGTTCTGTTATATAGGCAACAGGGTCCTGAACCATAGTCTACTGGCACCAGACTACAAAGTAATCATCTGAGAGCCTTGTTAAAATATAGATTCCCAGACATGTCCTGAGGTACTCCGATTCAGGAGGGTGGGGTTGGGTCCAGGACTCTGAATTTTTAATAGACTTTCCAGCTGTTTGGAATGTATAGTCAGATTCAGAAACCTGGGTTTTTTATGATAATTGCCTTAAATCATTTTTTAGGGGTGGGGGAGGGGGAGAAAATAAGCACAAAATAAAATCTTGGGTTGGGCTTAGAGGTTAGAAATGTTCCTAATTTATGCCCTGCCTATAAAAGTAGACTCAATGAGAGGTTATTATCACTCCTTTGTTGAATCCAAGAAAAGATTCTGTTCCTATTTCAGTATACTTTTTATAAGGTTCTATATGACAAACTCCTCTGAAAGTTTAACATATCATTAAAACTGGAGCTAGTGTCTGTAAAAGGTTAGGTGAACACACTTTCCTGGCACACAGCAGTCTATCGTTTGTTTTTAAGAAGAGAGGCTATACCCTGAAAGCATGTAGTCTGGAATTACTACCTTCTGAATAGGCGGAAGTCTTCTGCTTTCTCGATGTACTGCTTCCAGGGTCTCAATGTGCATAGCTACAATTCCTAGGATGAGTCAGAGTATTCAAAATGAAAGAACACAGACAAGCAGAATAAAAACAAATTCTGGATATTTTAGAATTAAAAGTTAATTAAAATTTAGTGGTTCCTCAAAAAAGTTAAAGAGAATTACCATTATGACCCAGCAATTCCACTTCTACATACATACCCCAAAGAAATGAAAGTAAGGACTCAAACAGATACTTGTATGTGGATATTCATATATTATTATTTATAATAGCTAAAAGGGAGGGAGAAACAACTCAAATGTCCATCAACAGATGAATGGATAAAATGTGGGACAGCTATAACATGGAAAATTACTCAGCCATAAAAAGGAATGAAATTCTGATACATGCCACAACACATATGAACCTTAAAAACATTATGCTAAGTGAAATAAACCAAACCCGAAAGTACAAATAGCATCTAAGTCCACTCACGTGAAATATCTAGAACAGGCACTTTATAGAGACAGAAAATACATTAGAAGCTACCAGGGGCTGCAGGATGGGGAAACAGGAGTTATTGCTTAATGGGTAGAGTGTTTGGGGTAATAAAAAAGTTTTAGAAATAGATAATAGTGATGGCTGCACAACATTGTAAATGTAATTAATGCCACTGAATTGTACACTTAGATTGTTTTATGTTATATACGTATTTTACAACAATTTAAAAACATTTAAAAAACTAATCAGAAAATAAATAGCATGGCTGAACTACATGGAAGACACGTATTGCCAGGTTTTATGCTGAAACTCAATAATCTCCAATATTCTGATTCTCTAATAGCTGCAAAGTGATTACCTGGTATCATGCAATGAAGGCTCTTGATGTGATCCTGAGTAACTCCACTCTCTGTACAAACTTTGTCAATAAATCGGGTAATGAATCGCACAACAGAATTGGCAATGTCATTATTCTCTGAATCTTCAAACCCACTCTCTGTATCATAGCTCTCAGCTACACTTCCTGCAATACTAAGACAGTCAAGGAAAGAAATCATGGTCAGTACTCAAATGCAACAAATGACTACTATATAGTAGTCAATTTACGTAGCAATTGAAATATGATCAAAGAGATGTCTACTCAAGTAGAAGGCTCACTTAACTCCATGGCTCCTTGGTAAGTCATGGTGATAAAACACAATGTTCTACTTGTCTACATTTGGAAACTACTGTCAGGCATTATCCTTTGGACCCAGATTTGTTTCTGTAAGGAATACTTTTTGTCACTCTCCCAAAAGGAACCCAGGAACCACAGAAAATAAAGCAAAAGAGGATTCTCTTGTTTATTATGGACTACCTGGGCCTTCTAAAGCAACCTGTCCTCCCAAGTTCATTATTACATAGAGACCAAGTAATATGGCTATCTTTGGCAATTTGGCAACTGAGGAACATGTTTCCTGGTAGGCAAAGTGAGAGAATTTTTCTCAGCAACAGGCATATTCTTCGGTATGTAAGGACCAAACTGTCCTATGAACCCTTCTCTTGCCAGGATTTATCACTCTCTGAGTAAACTGTAACCCATTTGGGTTTTAGTTTCAGTGGTATGAGAAGTCACTGGAGGGTAGAGACATGGAAGGCATGGTTGAGGATATGACTATAAGGTTGAGGAAAAGGAGGGCTGAGAAACAAACAGTCACTTTTGCAAGAAGGTGCTCACTAATTTCTCTGGAATGATTTCTGTAAATTGCTTTGGCAGACAGTAACTAAAGGGCTGGATCAGTAATGGGTGAGACATTTGGAAAAATTAGGTCATGAAAAAGAAGAGAGTGTGGGAAGTGGTTAAGGATAGTAGGATGAAGTGAATCTTTTAGAGAGAAAAGCTGAAAAAGTCCAAAGGTGAGGAAAAAATGGTTAACTTTTGAAATATGTACAGCAGTATTTGCTCAAAATGTTTAATATTATCTGTCAAGCCAAGACTGGTCCCAAGAAGAGTAGGAGGAGGGTCTGTGTGTTCACATTTTGGTACCTGTTTGTGACAATGCTGTTGCTTCCGCTCTCCCAGTCACCTGGTGCTGATGTTCTTAGGAGCTTGTTTTTACTTGTGTCGAGTGGAACTAGCAGGTTCACCATGAGGTTTGCAAAGTGAATGGCCTGACTAAAGACAGTGCTTTCCTCATGTTGCACTAGCTCTTGCTGAGTTAACTTGCTCAGGGTAGGCCAAAGGCGTAGTTGCTCAGCTGCCAGGTCCATTGCTGTCTTCTCCTGATATTGGTTATCAGGAAGCTTATCCTAAAAAATAAAGCAACACAATCCAAAAGAGAACCATCATTTCAGGTGAGCTTAAAAAACATAGATGTTTTAAATAACTATTCTATTAAATGCTTACATCAGCAAAAATGAAAACATAAACAAAACATAACAACCACAAAACAAAACCTAGTCTTCTTTCCCAGATCCAACAGGCCTTGAGTGGAACTATGTGACAAACCTCAGGAAGCAGCAGCAAAGCACCTTATAGCTTGTGAAGAGCTGGTATGTCTATGGTCTCGCTTATACCTAACCTAGGGCTGGCTCCGGCATAGACTTCTTTAGAATGGCTGGCAAAGAAGCAGTGACATGTGTTTGCTCTATGAATTCTTTCGAGATGTGTCAATATTAACATTACAGCTGCTTAAAAAATTATCGAAAGCACCCCCAAAGCCCAATAAATTTCTGAAGTATAATGATAATCAACCTTTAAGGCTGCTTTAAATTCAATTCATGAGGATAATTTCTAACACTTATTATTACTGCATGCCAGGTACTCTTCAATGCACTTTATATATTAGACGCTAAAATCTCATAATAATCATATCCATTTTACCAGTGAGGAAATAAGGCACAGTGAAGTAACATGACTTGACCCAAACCAGAGAGCTAGTAAATGATATTTTAAACTTTCAGAGTATTTAAAACTACTCTTTCAAATTAAAAACAATTTCCTTGATTTTAAAATATTTTCTGATATTTTTCATAAAAATATTTTATGCTGATGAAACAGAGAGAAACATATAGAATATTCCTAGAAGAAGACCTCGATTTATTACTGGCATTTTTTAAAAATAGAACTACTAAATTTTACATTTATTTTGGAGTCAATTAACTTTAATTTGACATTCCTCCAGGAAAGTTAGTTGCATAGAGAAGTATGCCTGTTATTTTAGGTTTGTTCTTTTTTTTTTTTGAGACGGAGTCTCGCTGTGTCTCCCAGACTGGAGTGCAGTGGCATGATCTCGGCTCACTGCAAGTTCCACCTCCCAGATTCACGCCATTCTCCTGCCTCAGCCTCCGGAGTAGCTGGGACTACAGGCGCCCGCCACCACGCCCAACTAATTTTTTGTATTTTTAGTAGAGATGGAGTTTCACCGTGTTAGCCAGGATGGTCTCGATCTCCTGACCTCGTGATCCACCCACCTCGGCCTCCCAAAGTGCTGGGATTACAGGAGTGAGCCACCGCGCCCGGCCTAGGTTTGTTCTTTCTATTCAACTTCCTATAATCATTTCCAGGAAATTCTTATTTATTAAAGTATATTAAAACAACCCTAGTGCTGAAGAACTGAATTAAGAAGTTATTATGGAAAAACATAATGTCTGAAAACAACAGAAGAAAGATATCACAGGGCTCCCTAAATAAAACCCAAATACACTGGTAGGAAGTAGCTAGAGCTTTTTTTTGCCCTGGGAAGGTCTGCTTTCCTTAAAGCCAGAATCCTAACCCCACACAATTAGCGTTCTTTTCTTCTCTCTTACCTTTTGCTTCAGATGCGGGGCATGATTGTCTTCCTTGGCTGAGAGATAAAGGGAGCGAACCTGTTCCTGCACTGCATTGTAAAAGGTTGTCTCCCAAAACTGCTGATTTGTCCAAATGGGGTGGTCTTGTACACATGTATAAGCAAACTGGCTGACTCCAGGGGCAAGTTTCTGTGAGAATACACAAAATATATCACCATGGGGCTGGCAGAATTATAACAGTTCATAAGGTCACAGGGGCCACAGTTAATCATAGATGTGATCAAAGGATTTCTCTAAAGAATATCTTATGGTAGTACAGGCTTAGCAATCAGCAACTTACTCCTTTTTAACTGGCAACTGTGGGCTTGCTGTTGGATCCTTGAGAGTCTCAGTCACTTTATCAAAATGGGTATTTTAGTAATAGCTAAAAATCAAAGCTGTTATTATATCAATTGGAAAATACAGGAAAAGGAGGCACTGTAGATTTAGTGAATATTACTACAATTAATAAAATCCATCACGATGTAAACATAAAACTCCAGATAATTTAACATTTCCTCTACTTGGCTTTAGGGTACTCTTTTTAAGAGACAGCAATTGATATGTGAGTGAACCTACAGCTTGGCCTTACACACAGAATGAGGATATAGCATGAATTAGCGACTCAGGAGAACCGCACTTTTCCTACTGCTCATTCCAGCCCATTACCTCCCCACCAAAGCTGCTGCCTGGCTCACATACTCTCTAGAAGACTGTCCTGGGCTTCAAGGGCATTTTCTGGTAACCAAATTTGTGCAGGGAAAGATAAACACAAATCAAACCGCCTTCCTGTCAGGGACTTCCTGCTGGGTTTCAGAGTAAGAGTAAACTTAAGAGGTGATTAACAACAGAGGGAAGGAAAATGAACTCTGCAGGCATTTAGAAAGCACTTCATATATATTTCAGTTTGTTTAGTTCCAAAACCCCTGCTCGTTTTACAACATCAAATTGTCTTTCAAAAGAACTGAAAGTAAATCAAAATAAATTAAATGCCAAATTAACTGCCAATTAGCACTTCTGTTTTCCCCTCACTTTATGATTTTGTTTCCCAAAGTAATATTCTGCCTTGAAACCTCTAAAAAAACTTATATAACATTGCTTTTCAAATTTTAAAGATAATTTACACTGCCAAATTTCAGTTAGTGACTTGAGTCATCTTTCCAGAACTACTTCTCTCACCTCTAAAAGTTAAGGATGTTTCAAATTTTAAAAAATTCATAATTTTCCAAGAAAAAGTAGGTACCATTTTCAATAAACATTTTTTGGCCCATTTTATTCTTTGGAATTGAGTTCATCTATTTTCTGTGAGTAGAACTAAAGTTTCTGATAAGTTTTCTTTTGAAGCAATTTAATAAGCCGAGTCTCTTCTGAAATGTTAGACACTGAAGATGATTACTAAGGTTATATAACAGTTACACAACAAAAGTTGGTTTATTTCTTAGGAATGTATACCAGATATATAAGACATCTGGTAAAAATTATATGCTTAATATATGCTAATCTCCTTTTTAGTCTAGAGCTGGAATAGGTATCATGAATACCACAAAACGTAGTGCCTGTGTAGTCAGAAGCCAGGTGGTTGTGATTCTGCCTTGAAGAGTCTCTGTGTACTACATGCCAAGTGTAAGACCTCTTCAAGATAGGACTGTGTTACTGCTGCTGAGGTAACTGGCTATAACCTCAATTCTCCCTATTAAGTGGCTGTAAGTTGTGGCTATGAAGCAAAAATCAGGAGTTCTTTGAGGGTGCACAGGGATCACTGTTGGATTTCATGATGTCTATCTGCTCATTTAACAAACAGCTACTGTCTACCTATGGGAAATCATGAACAAAATGTGTGTGGTTTTGTGAGTGCGTAAGCAGAAGCCACACACACTGAATCACAAGCTCCTTATATACTCTGCATGAAGACATTTGGGACATGGATTACACACTTTTTCCTCCTTCATTTTTTAGTCCTTTACTGTAAGGACCAGCAATTATTTCAGTAGCAGTACACAAGCCTATTTTGTTTTTTTGGTTTTTTGTTTTTTTGAGGCGGAGTCTGGCTCTCTTGCCCAGGCTGGAGTGCAGTGGCCAGATCTCAGCTCACTGCAAGCTCCGCCTCCCGGGTTCATGCCATTCTCCTGCCTCAGCCTCCCGAGTAGCTGGGACTACAGGCGCCCGCCACCTCGCCTGGCTAGTTTTTTGTATTTTTTAGTAGAGACGGGGTTTCACTGTGTTAGCCAGGATGGTCTCGATCTCCTGACCTCGTGATCCGCCCGTCTCGGCCTCCCAAAGTGCTGGGATTACAGGCTGGAGCCACTGCGCCCGGCCCACAAGCCTATTTTGAAACAGTTTTTTTTTTTTTTTAGACAGGGTCTGGCTTTGTCACCCAGGCTGGAGTGCAGTGGCATGATCGTGGCTTACTGCAGCCTCAACTTCCCAGGCTCAAAAGATCCTCCCACCTCAGCCTCTCTAGTAGCTGTAGTAGCTGGGACTACAGGTGTGCACCACTATACCCAGCTGTTTTTTGTAGAAAAATCTGAAACTGGGAGGTGGAGGTTGCAGTGAGCTGAGATGGGGTTTTTGTAGAGATGCGGTTTCATCATATTTCCCAGGTTGGTCTTGAACTCCTGGGCTCAAGTGATCTACCTGCCTTGGGCTCCCAAAGTGCTAGGATTATAGATGTGAGCCACCATGACCAGCCTGAAAGAGATTTTAAAGGCATTAAACTCAAATGAGAAAAAACTGTAATTCTCAACTGCCTTTACCATGAGTATACTAAGGGCAGTACCATTTCTTACAAATGCAGCATAACATAATCAACGGTGACTCGAAAAATGTTGAAGTCTTGAAATTATATTAATATAGATAAGCTCCAAAAAAATGAGCTTTAAACAAATCCTTATCAGATTCTCATAAAGCACTTTTAGGATAATCAACACACCAAAAAAGTTATTAATTAAACATCTTTTATTAAAACTTAACAGAGATATACAGGAATCTGAGTGTATAATGAAGCCCCACCTTTCTTCAGCATTTTTCTCACTGATGGTGTATATTTGCTTTCCTTGGCACACGTGAGTTGACATTACAGGTTGAGTGTCCCTTATCTGAAATACTTGGGACCAGAAGTGTTTCAGATTTTGGAATATCTGCATTATATTTACTGGATGAACATTCTAAATCTGAAAATCTCATATCTGAAATGCTCCAATGAACATTTCTTCTAAGTATCATGCCAGCCTGCTAGAAGTTTAGAATTTTGGAGCATTTTGGACTTTCTTTTTTCCTTTTGGAGACAGGGTCTCATTCTGTCACCCAGGCTGATGACAATCATAGATCATTGCAGCCTAGAGCTGCTGGGCTCAAGGGATCCTCCCGCCTTAACCTCCTCAGTAGCTAGGACTACAGGCATGTACTGCCATGCCTGGCTAATTTTAAAAAATGTTTTTTGAGGCCTGGCACAGTGGCTCACGCCTGTAATCCAAGCATTTTGGGAGGCTGAGACAGGCAGATCACTGAAGGTTGGGAGTTTGAGACCAGCCTGGCCAATACGGTGAAACCCCATCTCTACTAAAAGTATAAAAATTAGCTGGGTGTGGTGGCGGGCACCTGTAATCCCAGCTACTTGGGAGACTGAGGCAGGAGAGACACTTGAATCTGGGAGGCGGAGGCTGCAGCGAGCTGAGATCGCGCCACTGTACTCCAGCCTGGGCAACAGAGCGAGACTCCATCTCAAAAAAAAAAAAAAAAAAAAAAAAGAAAAAGTTTCTTGAGACAGGTTTTCACTATGTTGCCCAGGCTGGTCTTGAACTCCTGGCCTCATGCAATCCCCCCACCTCGGCCTTCCAAAGTGCTGGGATAGGATTAGGCCACCAAGTGTGGCCCAAATTTTTGAATTAGAGATACTCAACCTGTATCTTCATGTTTATTCACAAACTAAAAGTTGAATATGCAAAAACTAATCTAAGTAGTTTGAACAAAAGGGGGACTATATATGTCCCAAGGAAGAAAAATGGTGCAAGACAGAGTGACAGTGGCCCAAAGGGGCCCACAGCCTGCTTACTAGGTGAGAATTACAGCAGGGTAAAGTGACTATAGTACAAACACTTGGTGGCAAGACAGACACAAATGGCTATGGCATCTGTGATAGTGGCAGTAGTCTTAGTAAATAGAGAAAATAAGTGCCTGTAGATAAAACGATCTCCTGATATGTGCGTTAGAAATCATTAACCTCCAAATACTTAAAATATTATTCTTTTTCTAGACATGCAATTTGCCTTCTTTCTTTGTGGTTTCTTGCTTTGTCTGGTCAACCACAAGCAAGGAGCCCTGTGTCCCTCAGTGAGGATGGGCAGGGCCATTTCACTGATGGGTGTTCTCAGGACCAGCAGAGGGCAGTATCACTTTATTCTGCCTAGACGCTATTATGGCTTGATCTACAAATTGCAAAAATGGAACTCTGCAGTCAGCTTGGGATAGAAAGTGGGTGGTAAGGTAAATATTTCAGGTGTTCACTGTGCATTTGAGAGAATCTATAAAGAAAAAGAACTGTTCAGGGTCATATGGCAAGATGAGTAGAACAAACGGGAACAGAAATAAAGCTTTCCATTACTCTATGTTGTCTCTGTAAGATATAAAATTAAGATATTTCACAAACAAACCTGTAATATAATTATGTAGAAAAAGATGTAATGAGACTTTAGGGTTTCAAATTCAGTATAACCTGGGACAGTAGCAGTAGTTTTAGTAAACAGAGAAAATAAGCATCTACGGATAAAACTATCTTCTGATTGTAATAATTTATTTTTTAAAATTTTCTTTATTATTTTGTGTTTAATTTTTTTATTCTAATAATTTCCCTGGTTTGAAGAAAAAACTTTCCCAAGACAAGATGGTTTTACAAATTGGTCTGTACACTAGCATCATAATCTTTTAACACTGCACAAAGATGAGATTTAACTCATACTGAGGGTGTGAGAGCGGTGGTGCTGGTTGCGAATGCTTTTGCCAAATCACATCTCTCTTTCTCTTCAATTCTGGCAACAATATTTATATTTCATAATAATTTTTATGATTCTGCCCTAAGGAAACAAGTGATATTGTGCCATGCAGTTTTATGAGATGTTTAAGAATGTGTTGACTTTCTTCTTTATCTAGAAAAA